TCATTAGTACATTCCATACATCATTTCATTATCCTTCTTGAGACCAAAACTGTGAGCAAGAGAGGGAGAGTATGAGAGCTTTGGTTCAACAAGAATTGCTTGGAGAATTAGAAGAATTGAAGAGTAGATTGCATAATTGAGCTTCTAGACTTGAAATTGAGGACCTAAGGTAGGATATTTATCCTTTAGTTTGTGAATTCAAGTTGGTTCTTGTATGGTTCATGAGTCATTAGTGATCTAAGTCAAGAATTAGTTTAAAGATTTGATTTGAGTAGCTAAATCAAGCATGCATGTACACATTGTTGAGTTTTGAGGTTGATTTCATGGAAATGCTCACATGCTTGTCTATATTCTAGCTATGGTCCATGAATTCATCATGTTTTTGAGTGAATTAACTCATTTGATCAAGTATTTGAAGCTGTGATTTCAATTGAACACTTGCATGTTACATATACATTATGTTCATGAAGTTTTGTTTGGATTTGTGTTTAATTGAACTACCTTTGGGCTTTGATTTTGCAAATTGATCTTTGAAACATGTCATATTATGAGTTTTAAAGTGTTTTCCAGAAAATTGGCCCAAAAGAATCAAATTTGATGCTTTAAATGTTGAATTTGAGCTTGGAGGTTCAATTTGGAAATTCCAGATTTTGGACCCACGCTCGAGCGTAGGACTTCACGCTTGAGCGTACACTCTGAGTCTTGCACTTCCGCTCATCCAGAAGTTCATTTGTTTTGCAGTCCGCTCGAGCGAGAGAGTTCACGCTCGAGCGAGGACCTGAGTCTCACACTCGAGCGTGGATCGAGCGCCCATCGAGCGTGAATTGCATGCATCCAGTACTTTTGCTTGAGTTTTCAGTCCGCTCGAGCGGAGCTCCTTTGTCTGCATGTCCGCTCGAGCGTAGAAAGCCACGCTCGAGCGTGGACCCCTGTTTCAGCAAATTTTGAAAAGTATTTTAAAGTGCCTCTTTCCATCCTAGGCATTCCTAAGGCATGTTTAAGGCATCTTAAGAAGGATATTGATATAGAACCACACCGAGCCAAGTTAGGGGTTAAGTTATTAAACCCAAGTGTATTACTTAGTGTGTGTTCGTTCTGTAACTGTAGGGTTGGCATCCGAGGACGCACACTAGCCTATCTGTAGCCCAGTGCTCTGTGAGTAACAATGTTGTAAAGATATGTTCAATTATGAATATTTTCTGAATTATCAACTGTTCTGTTTACTGAAACGTTATTGTTTAATGAATGAATGTTTGTCCTATTTGTAAACTGTATTCGTGGTATCCTTAGCAACTTACTGTTACTGTACTGTTACTGCTACTGTCACAGAGATCTCTGTCGGTTTCCAAGTTTGGAACCACTACTGTTACTGTTATGATGGCCATTAACTTACTGCTCGGTCTGTTAAGACCTACTGTACTGTTTTGCTATTGGATATACCACATATAACTGCTATGGTTTCTAAATGACTGATATAACTGTTTAATGACTGAAAGGACATTCATTTTTAACCTCTTTACACAACTGTTATTCACTGGGCTTTAGCTCACTGTTTATATATATATGTAGGTGTCTAGGCACCAGATCGATACTAGGAGTGTTAGGCTGAGCTCCCATTTTGTCAAAGTCAACCATTGTGCCTCACTTCGAGGTTCCAAGTGCTGCCAAGTCAAGGCTGTTTTAGGGTGTTTTAGATTTCCCTTTTTGCCTCTGTTCTGTAATAAATGTTAAGATTTGCACTGTACTGTTATGGTAGGGATTTGGTTCCTAACCTGAATGTTTGTATATATGACATATGTATAAACTGTTTTGGTTTTGAATGTGAATATGTTCAGGAAAGTCTTTTTGCATTCAGAATGTCACAGCTCATTGGACACCTTTTATTTATTGTTTTGGCTTCTGCCAGCCCCTGTACTCTGTATTACTATCTTGACTGTTAAGCAGGCCTTCGGTAATCACGGATTACTGGCCGGTTACGGTGCTAAACCCATAGGGGCGGGTTTGGGTCGTGACAGCGACCACCCTTAGTCATTTGTAAGACTTTGTGTTTTTAATTTGTTTAGATATTCTGTTTGTGTTTTCAATTAAAAAAATGTTTAGATATTATGTTGTATTTTTAATTTGTTTTCAATTTGAAAATCCTTTTATCAAATAGCAAGTGTTGATATTTTGTATTTTTTTGTGAAAAATGTAAGGCTTAATTTTGTCATTTAAAAGAAAAATCAAATTAAATAGTTTTTGAATAAAAAAAAGTAATGAAATAGTTTTGATAATGCATAATTTTCTTATATGTATTTATTATTAGCATTTAACAATTTACTTGATAATCTTTTAGTAATGTTGAGTTGAATTGTTATCCAAAAATATTGACAAGTAGTTGTATTATGTTCAAAATTTGTAAAAGTTTAAACTATTAAACCAATTCGTATGCATCTACCAATCTGCTCAATCTACATCCGTCAATCCGGTAGATGGATGCGGATTGATTTTTTCTAATCTGCTAATCCAAGGAACGGATGATAGATTGGAGGTTCCCCGGCTGCAACCGAACTGCGAACACCCCTAGTCCTAAGCTAGCACTTTGAGGATGACACAAATAATTGCTCGGTTGGGGGACTTTACGTGGTCCAATGGCATGAAGAAAGGAATTCGCTCCAGGTATACGTTAATATTGTTTGACGGTTTGGCCAATATTGTTTGGTAGTATTGACACACACAGGTGTAAGGAAAGGAGATGACAGTACAACCATGAGTCTAACAAAGGACGATAGAAATAGTATGCACACAATCTTGAGCTGCAAGCCTTTCTTGGTTGGACCAACCCAACCGGTAATTTCCGTCTTCCGAGATTAAGAACAAGTCTTTTTGCATTTTTAGAACAAGAAGCGGAACTACAAGAAAACGGAGTTGTCTATGAATAAAGACCTTATTCTACTCAAGACAATTAAGTCTTTTTTTGAAATTGCTGCGGGAGAGCTAGAGCTTCAACAAAAGTACAACCCAACAGCCTAGATAAAATGTGTGATCGAACTCTAATAAGGGGAAGCAAACTTTAGTTATTCTCTCTCGACATTCCTTATTCTTCCTCAAGTGAAATAACTTGATCGTCGGAGGGGTTTTTGGGCAAATCACCCACTTGGTAGCTCACTATTGTTCTATTTGCAATAAGCGAGATGCCATTCTGAGCGAAGCAAGCGTGGTATCAAGGTGTATGGGCGACGACGAATATTTCTCTCCTGCACAATTGGCGCTATCTGTGAAAATTTTGACATACAAAACCTTATCTTCCAGGCTTTTCTAATCAGCTTCAATGGCAAACAACGATGACATTTCACTGCCCGTTGTCGACGGCATCACGCTAGAGTCTGTTCAACGGCGTGATAACTTCCCTCCAATGCCGACCATGGCTGGTCTAGAGACCTCCACGCGAGAGACTCACAGAGACGCATGAGATAATCATGCAAGAAGCTTTGAGCACTCATAGAGCCTTGATGGGCGACAATGGAGGGGGACGTATTCTCAGTGCTTAGAAAACAAGCTAAGGGACCAGGACGCCATCATTGGAAGGATAGCGGCAGAAATGAAGGCCATGAAGTTGCAGTTGAAGGGAAAAAGTGTTGCTAGAGTGGAAAACCACAGTAAGGGCACTAAATCCTATCGTTCAGGTAATTGGATTTGGAGAGAGACACCTTCGTTTTCCATCACTAGGAACTACAGAGTCGGCCACTTTGTGTTTCCAGTAGATAGGTCTTAAACTTAAAATAGTAGCTACCGACCCTTACGTTCGACGTTAACGTCAGGATACTCATACTCCACTCGATCGGAGGACTTGAGGGATGTTTTGAAGGAGTGAGCTCGTTAGAGGGAGGCCTAGAAGATGCCGGTACTTCAGAGATTGGCTTCAGGAGTCCACGCTAGTAAGGAGGTAATATGCTACCTCCACGTTTGGTAGTAAATGTAATGGTTGATCGGGACTTGGCAAGGCTAAGTGCACCCAATTTTCTTCTAAGATCGAGAACACATCGCCCCCTATCGGTTTCCTTTAGCCTAAGTTTACGTTGTATGACTAGAAATGAATCTATATATGCATGTTAGCCACTATCGGCAAGTAATGGCTGGACATAAACAGAGTGATGTATTAATGTGCCTAATATTTTCAGCTAGTTTGGACGAGCTAGGCTTAAATTGGTTCAAGAAGTTGCCGGAGAGAGTATCAAGAGGCGGCAACAATTAGCAGAGACATTCGTTACCAAATTTAAGATGAATACAAAAACTCTAAAAGAAGTAGATCATCTTTTGTGTGTGAAAAAGGAATCGAGCAGTTCATTGAAGAAATACAACAGTAAATACTGGGAGACATACAACAAGATCCTCGATTGCCCCTATGAACTTAGCGATTGCCCAATACAAGCGAGGTTTACCAGTCGGACAAAGACTGAGGGACTTACTTACAATGAGTCAGCCTACCACTATAGAATCATTGATGTAACGAATCAATGAATACATCCGAGTCGAAGATGATGCGATCACTGCGACTAAGAAGACAAATCTGGTGGCGGCGGACAAGCGAGTGGTTAGAAAGGTTCACACAATTGGAAGGGAAGACAAATGGCCGAGCTATTGCGGTAGAGACCAAAATTGTTGTTTTGCCTAACTTCAGAGCTCTCTGCCAAGTTAAATTTGCTTGGTGAGAAAAAAGTTGGCATTTTGTCCAACTTAAAACTTCCTTACCGAGTTAGATTTCGCTCGGCGAGAAAACTGGTGTTTTTCCCAATTTGAAGCTTCATTGCCAAGTTGAATTTTGCTTGGTGAAAAAAAGGTTGGTGTTTTGCCCAACTTAAAGCTTCATCCAAGTTGGATTTTGCTTGATGAGAAGAAAGTTGCTATTTTACCCATCCATAAACTCCTTTGTTGAACTGTGTTTTTCCCGGCACGGAGCAAAGTCAATATCAACAAAACGAGAAAGAAAATACAACGATGTTAACAAAAGGTGTATTTATTATATTTTCAGTGTTGTTCCAAAAGGAGGGGCCTTCAGTACAATTACAAACCTTCAAAACCAAAAAAAGAAGAAAAAGAAAAGGTCATAACAAGGACAATGTTCATAAATCGAGTAGCCAAATCGACAATCTCTTCCTCAGTCGCATCATCAAGGCCTTCTGAATTGGTGTCGAGCGGAGGATCGATCGCATGTTTAGTTTAATCGGCATCCTGCGATGCCACACTATCTTTTTGTGCAGCCAGTCGCAGAGTTGTGTTGGCAAGTTGGATGGTGGCCACTTCAACCACCCTATCTGCCTTCGCGACTTCAATAATCTTTTGTTGCACGACAGTAGCCTACACTTGTATATATGGAGGGATGAAGTGGAGCGGAGGATTCATGAAAAACTCAGAATCCGCAGATTGGCCAAGTTTTTTAGCTGCCGCCTTCCAGCCGCATTGGAAGAAGATGCCCTTGGTAGCCTATACTTGGTGCTCATATGCCTTCTTCCCCTCTGCGAAACCTCGGTCCTCCACCTCCCCAACCTTTTCCTTCAGTTCGGCCCTATGGTTATCGCGATGCCTTTTTAGCTCGGCCAAATATCTTGTCTTCCTGGTCTCCACTGCCTTCTTCTTATCTTCATCCGCCTTATTCAACTGCTCGGCCAACTGATCTCTCTCGATTGTGATATCCGCAAGCGAAGCCTTGAGTTTTCGCAGCTTGGCCTTCTTTGCCTTGTTCTCACTTATGGCCTTACGAAGATTCCTTTTTAGCTCCATCATGTGTTCATGGGCAACGAAGTTTTTTTGCATGGCCTACAGGTAGAAAAAATTTAGTATGTAGATACCAAACAATCAATTCAATGAAATAAAATAATGAACCCTACCAACACTAAAGATTTGGAGATCGACTTGATGGCTTTCAGGTCGGACAGTTGCTCATGCTTCTTCATGTCAACTGGGAGAAACAGGCCCTTGGTCAGGTTGAAGCCTAGCAAGTTATACTTGTCTACATAGACCGAGTCAATTGTGGTCACATCTCGCCCTTTGTATTCTCTTCCTCAGTCGCATCATCAAGGCCTTCTGAAACAATCAATTCAATGAAATAAAATAATGAACCCTACCAACACTAAAGATTTGGAGACCGACTTGATGGCTTTCAGGTCGGACAGTTGCTCATGCTTCTTCATGTCAACTGGGAGAAACAGGCCCTTGGTCAGGTTGAAGCCTAGCAAGTTATACTTGTCTACATAGACCGAGTCAATTGTGGTCACATCTCGCCCTTTGTATTTCAGCTCAGGTGACCACACTAGAGGGGCAGTGGTACGGCCAGGTTGCTTAGTGACAACTTGCTCAATCTGCTCTCCATAATTAGACACCGGCAACTCAGTTGAGTTCTCATCCACCAAGTGTCGCTTGGAGGTGGCCTGCCTCGCCCTTTTACTGGGCAAGAAGAAGCTTGTTCATTAGCTAGAGCCAACACTGGACTAGTTTCTTGCGTGACTGGCTGCGTGGATTGGCCCCCAATTGACCCAGTCGGTTGAGGAAAAGAGTTAGGGCCGACGATGATCATCGACTTAATAGCTCTTACGTTGGCCATTTCTTCCTCGACTGTCAAAGGGATCAAATTAATTTTAGAGAGATTGGGATTTGGTTCTGGAGAGGGCTCACTCAAAAAGTCAAATGCGCAGTGCATTGTATCGGTAGGTCAGTTCATAGCCTAACAGTACGTGTTATCCTTTAAGTTAAAACCAAAATTTAATAACAATTATACTAAATTCATTTATCTTCAATGTCAAATTTAGTAATATCAAAATTTGAGAAAAGATCTAACTAAATAAAAATAATATTTTAGTAAAACGTTTAAAAACTTATGACATTAAAATACCCATTTTCCAGCATTTAAATTTTATATTGGGGAAAATAAAAGGAAAAAAAAAAAGACAAACTCAAGGTTTAAGTCTTGTAATAAAATATACCTGAATTTTTAAGTTTATCAATTTAAACCTTAATTTTTTTATTTATTTTTAATCTAAACCATTAATCTATTTTTATTAATTAAAATTGATGAAAAAATAATATTTTAGTCAATATATTCAATAAATGCATATGAAAAATATTTAAAATATCAATTTTCATTAAGTTTAATGAATAAAATATATTTTCCTCTTTAGTTTTACTAAATGAAAATAAAAAAATAGTTTAAATTGAAAACAAATTAAAAAGTTAGAATTTAAATTTTTTTTAAAAAAATCACGTTTAATTTGATATAAGGCTTAACTTTGATTTTTTTATTTAAAATTTTTCGCTTGAATGCTTAAATGCACCGTTGTAATCATTGAAGGAGGGGAAAAAGGGAAAGAAGAATGAGAAGAAGAAGAGGAATGAGAAAAAGAAAAAAAAAAGAGAGCGAGAGAAAATGGGAAATTCTATTTTTACATGCTTATATATCTTAGTGCACATATTTAATGAATCATTATTTTAATAATAATTATATCCTAATATAAAATGATCATGATAGATATCAAAACACACCCATAATATTATATAAAAATATTTTTTATACACATCTTTTAAAAGTAAAAAAATCTCAGTGCACATCTTTTAATAATAAAAAAAAAAAAGCTAAACCCTAATTCCTTCATTTTAGACAACAACGACGGGAAACAAAGTAGATTAAGAGATTTTTATGATCTTTTTTTTTATTTCTTCCTAGCATTAGTTTTCTAGTCAACTAAACAGATTAAGATCACATATTTATACATCCAACCGAAAATAAAAGCATTATAAAATAATTAAAAATTCTTGGTTGTGTGGAGGAATTTTCATTACATATTATACTCTCTTTTTTTTTTGAAAAAAAAAAATCCTTTTTTGATTGGCTAAATCTAACATTCTACAATAAACTCCTATGAACTAAACCCTAAAAACCAAACCTTAATTGGGAAGAAGCTCATGAAGCAAAATCTAACATTTTCATTATATATAAGCTACCATTGGGGAAAGTATATTGAAAACCTTAATTGGCTAAATCTAACATCACTACAAAAAAATTGACTTTTTGCGACGGCAAAATGCCGTCGCAAATACTCAAAATGCCGTCTCAAAAGGTTTTTTGCGACGGCAGATGACTTTTAGTGACGGCAAGTGGGGGGTCGCAACAAAGGGGGTTGCAAAAAGTTTTTAGCGACGGCACGTTGCCGTCGCCTTTTTTTTTTTGCGACGGCAAAGTTGTCTTTTTGCGACGGCATTTTTCCGTCGCCATTAATATGAAAAAAATTTAAAATTTTTTGAGACAGCACTACGTTGCCGTCGCTAAAGGTATTATTTGCGACGGCAAAAAATACCGTCGCCAAAGAATTTTTATTGCGACGGAATAATGCCGTCGCTAAAAAAATAGTTGGGACAGCACAATGCGTCGATTATTTGCGACGGCAAAGAATACCGTCGCAAAAAACTTCTGTCTCAACTCTACCAATATCATTTACGACGGCAATGTGGTGCCGTCTCAAAAAAAAAAAAAAAAAATAAAAAAAAATTATTAAAAATATGAAAATTACCTGTATTAAATGAAAAATAATTGAAAAGGAAATCAATAATTACATAATAATATAAAAATTCTAGTATAAAAATAATAATTCATCCATAATAAAAATATTCTTGCATTCATTCATTACAACACATTAGCAAAATTATCCCACTACATAATATTGCATAATACATACACAATGTTTAAATACATAATGTTGTTCACAATTCAAAATAACGTAAATCAAAAACAAAAATTTCTCTCATGATTCCAGGAATGGAACCACCAACTCCATTTGCGCTACTACTAAATCCAGGGCTACCAACAATACTCATTCCACCTCTATTTGTCACCCCTAAATGACCATGTGAGCTTCCATAGGATATCTGCAATACAAAATAATACACAATTGGGTAGAGATCAGGAAAGAAATTAATTTAGCAAACATAGTGAAACACCAGTGAATGAAAAATACCAACTAATAAATACGTCCACTAGAAAGGCTTCCAGTAGGCTGTTGAACCCAACTAGAAGGAACATTATTTACAAGCACCAGGAATATGCATGTGACCATATAAATCATGCCACTCGTGGTCCAAGTTTAGATATAACAGTAAGCATTCACAAAATTCAGAACCAAGACCAAACAATTGGCATACAAAAAATGCAAGACTCAAGTGAGACAAATAGAAGATACATGTAGAACTAACCATAACTAAAGGGAATTGAGTGAATGCCCAAATTATCAGTCCAGAACAATTTATCTCCAAATTTTTGTGGTCCTCTTTATAAATAGATTTGTATCTTGATAGCCAAAAAACAAAAGAATAAAATAAAGAAGATGGTCTTCCAATCACCCTCCATAAATAGTTTAACTATACATGCTAGAGATTGCTCCATACAACATAGCAAGAAACCATATAAAAAGTGGATATGTTTTAAGCCCTGCCTTTCTGCATTTCTTGTTGGATAAGAAACTGATGTATTACAAGGCCAAGTCCTGTAACTTTCACATTAAACTGAAAAGGATGGATGAGTTGAAAACAAGAAAAATATATTTAAATAAAAAATAAAAAATAAAGAAGAAACATTTATTTAAACTACTTTTACATTTTAGGATACACATATTTATGTAAATATGTTAACCAAATACATAAATTTATACATACATAGAACGTTAAATTAATCTTGTGTTTAATGGAAAATGAAGTTAATGTAACAAATAATTTATATTACCAATGTGTTCAAAGGAATGTGGTGCTATGGTGGTTCACTTCACCGGCTGGAACATGTGTTTTGCCGGTTTTTGCAAACACATATTTTACCGTCCAAAAACATGACTAGCGAATGGGTTCATCACTCGAACTGGCCTCTCTAATCTGGTTTCAAAATATTGCCGAGAGGTCTATGCCTTCAATTAAATATTAATTCTACAGTGACACAACATATTTAAGGTTTCAAATCTTTAAACTGTGAATCTCACTGTGACTGCAGCATTGAGTTCACAATATACATAATCAATAGATTCTCATCAATGCAATTGATAATTAACATTCATGTTCCCATATATTTATATTTATACAAGCAAATAAATGTCTAAAGTGCATCCTGACACCCCCCC